GAAGACTTCATTCCTCATCCTTTATTGAACATTAAGCATAGGCCTTGGCATCACTCTGATGATCTTGGCGAGCGGTGAAAGCTCTATGTAACTGGACTACCTGACCCTAGTCTTGCCACGCTTCCCGCATGGGGCGCTACTATCGCATGGAACCGGTACGGCGAACGACGGTCCAGTTGCTAGACACTCACTTTCAATCAGCGAATGTGGCAGCTGCGCCTAGCTAAATTACTAATTAGTCGTGGACCATATTATCTCCCTTTTTTTAAAAGGAGCTGAGAGGACCTAGAACAAAGCATAGTTCCAAGGTGCAAATCTTGTTGTTAAGGAGACTCACTGTGTAGCGAGTTAGGGTAAGGAGAAGGAGGAGTGATGAAGGAATACCAAAGCTTGTCTCCAAAGGTAGGAACCAGCTAGAGAGAAAGCGGTGGTGTCACCAACCACTCGCCAAAGTGAGCTTTCCTCAGGCCAGTCTACAGCAGTTGTCATTGACTCTTTTGATACCAGTACACCTCATATTCCGGAGATGAGGAGGGTGTGGCTGCATATTCATTCGAACATGGCGGCAGCAGCCCTTTTGGTGAGACATTTTCGTTTCGGAACAGTTGTAATCATGTCTGTCGGACAGAAGACTGGGTAACAGTTGTCTCAGATGGAGATATTCCTCAAGAAGGGGGTCCGCGCCACATTCAGATCACGTGCGCGGCCACGCCCTCATCATCTCTAGGATATGCAGCGCATGTGGAGGAGGGTGAGAACCCTGCGTTGGCTGGTCTGCAACTGCTGATGCGGGTCAAATATTTTCGCAGAAAATTCTAAAATGGATATTTGAACGATTTCTGCGTAACCTTGGAGTAATCTTCTTGCTGATTTATTTATTAAATGCGACAATTTTTCATGCTAATATTGTAATACCCTGCTCCCATGAAACAGAATCACGTTTTTTCTGTCCTTGAGTGCGCTAAAAAACAGAACGGTAGCATTTTAGCAATCGAACACGGCTCTCTTGACGCCTTCAATGCGAACAACACCTCCAGCACTGAAAGGAAGGCTAACGAATTCCGATGGCAGGGAGAAGTGAGCGAAACCTTACACAATTAATGGGAACGAGTTACTCGATTATGCACTGCCTGGTTACAGTTTGCCACTTCCGACTCTTGGCAATGGTCCAACAGTTGTACCACCAAAATAGCATGGTCAAGGATTGTTGCCAACTTATTGTTATCGTTTTCT